TATCTCATTTTTTCTATGGTGATAATTTTTGTATATCTCGTTTTATTCTACATTTTCCCACTTTTCTTCTTTATACTGTAACTGCTATTCTAATAGCAAATCCTTCATAAAGGTTATTGCATTACATTCTTGATTAAAATATCTTTCCATTGATATATAATTTTATGGTACTACTCCCTAAAAAAGTGGTGTTATTAGCTAGTTTTAGAAAATACACTTTTCCCAAACTGTTTCCACAATTTTGGCCACTACTGTAAGTACAGTAAATTCTCTTTACCTTCTACAATTGGGACCAGTGACTCTGTCACTAAGTTAAACAGTCACACTAAGAGAGAAATCACAGGAGCCAGATTGCTTTCCAGCTCAAAATTGACAAAACTAATCAGTTTTATACCTTCAACTCAGGGGTGAAATCTAAAATTTGTTACTACCGGTTCTGTGGGCGTGACTTGGTGGTGGTGGGGGTAATGTGACTGGGTGGGTGTGGCCAACTTTTTTTTTTTTTTACTTTTAAAAGCTTCTGACAATCCCAGCTGAGCTGCGCGATCATCAGAGGCTTTTTTTTTACTTTTAAAAGCATTTTTTCGGCCGAAGAGGTTGTAGAAAAAATGCTTTTAAAAGTTTAAAAAAACAGTCTCTGATCATCGCACGGCTCAGCTGGGCATGGGGAGGGGGGCGTGCAGAGATTTTTGCTACCGGTTCTCTAAACCACCCGCCACCATTGCTACCAGATCGGGCGATCCGGTCCGAACCGGGAGCATTTCACCCCTGCTTCAACTTACGCTTGCCTCCTAACCACTCCATTGGAATGCACTCACCCTTGCTGGGTGCTGGGGTTATTAGCAAAAAGTGAATTAACATTTACATTTATTGGAGAGGAAGTGATTAAAAGAGAGTAAACAGGCACACGATGGAGAATACACAGTGAAAGCAATGTGCTGGCACCAGTAGCCACAAACACACTAGACCACAGGTCTCGATACTGTATTGTCTTTTTTTGCCTTTGCAGAGCCAGGTGTGATGCATCTGGCCCATGGGCCCCCAGTTTGTCACCCCTGCAGTAGACAAACAGCTTGGCATTCCTCATTGTTTATCTGCTTACACTCTTTTAAATCCTTTCTCTCCAATCTCTCTGCTATATGAGAGGAGGAGGAGAAAATACTAGTTGGAAGGTTCTACATTTAGGGAAGTAAAACAAAATGCACAGGTACCGTATATGTGGTATTGCTCAATAGTAGTAACTGTGAGAGGGATCTTGGAGTCCTAGTGGACAACCATTTAGATATGAGCCAGCAGTGTGCAGCAGCTGCCAAAAAAGCCAACACAGTTCTGGGCTGCATAAACAGAGGGATAGAATCAAGATCACGTGAAGTGTTAATACCAATTTATAATGCCTTGGTAAGGCAACACTTGGAATATGGCATTCAGTTTTGGTCACCACGATGTAAAAAAGATGTGGAGACTCTAGAAAGAGTGCAGAGAAGAACAACAAAGGGGATTAGGTTACTGGAGGCTAAAACATATGAAGAACGGTTGCAGGAATTGGGTATGTGTAGTTTAATGAAAAGAAGGACTAGGGGAGACATGATGGCAGTGTTCCAATATCTCAGGGGCTGCCACAAAGAAGAGGGAGTCAAACTATTCTTCAAAGCACCTGGGGGTAGAACAAGAAGCAATGGGTGGAAATTAATCAAGGAGAGAAGCAACTTAGAACTAAGGAGAAATTTCCTGACAGAACAATTAATCAGTGAAACAACGTGCCTGCAGAAGTTGTGAATGCCCCAACACTGGAAATTTTTAAGAAGATGTTGGATAACCATTTGTCTGAAGTTGTGTAGGGTTTCCTGCTTGGGCAGGGGACTAGAAGACCTCCAAGGTCCCTTCCAACTCTGTTATTCTATTCTATTCTATTCTAAAATAAGAACTACTTGTATACACACCCAGTATCATGACAGTGCAGATCTTGGATATTTAGAAATGTAACAGCAAGGGACCTTTTCATGCTAATTAGGGCAAGCATATCAGGAGCAAAACCAGTTGATACAATTCTACTGCTGCTTAATTACTTTGCATCATTTAATAACTCTATAATGGAGTTCCATAATTCCAAAAGCAACAACTGGAGTTAAGAAAAGTTTTGATTTCTTTCTGTCCTTCACACAATAAAGCTCTTCTTTATTATGTGCAACTCCAATGGCCCTGGCTCTTCACATTGCATGATCTAAAGCCCACAACAGGGCAGTGGGGTGTAGATAAGGAATTAAGGGTTTATTATGTGTCCAATTCTGTGTGTCACTCTGCTTTCCCTTTCTCTAAAAAAATTACCTGTTTTCCCCAAAATAAGACATCCCCTGATAATAAGCCCAATCAGTCTTTTGAGCGCATGGCAATAAGGCCAAGCACTTATTTCAGGGTTCAAAAAAATATAAAACGGTCTTGTTTTCGGGGAAACACATTACTAAGTCACTTCTAGCTATCGTTTTTCTGATATAACACATGTTTCTCGACTTTCCTCTTGGTAATACATAGCTAATTAGGCGCTAGGCTTTGCCCTATGGCTGTTATACATTTTCTTAAATAAATCTCCTTTCTGTTATCATTATTAAAGCTGCTTTGATAATAATTGCCTAGGTGAGATTCCTGTCAGGCCTGGAAGCCATCTTTTGTATTAGGCCTTCAGACCTGCCACGTGTACTACTGTGGGAAACTGTGAGGGGGATTGTATGGAGTATGGGTGATATATAATCATAACAACATTCCTTTCTCAAGAAGTCAAGGACAACTTGCCCTGCACCTGGAAGGCCGGAGCTGGGAGGCATCTCCAGTTGGAACGATGTTTGATTGGACCATGTGATGGACTTGTGGGTGTTGGGCAGGGAGTGGAACTTTTCTTTGGGTGGGGAAAACTGGAAACTTTCAGATTCGGGTTTTCCCAGATGTGCCAATATGACATCTCTAATAAAATGTAATTTTGAGGAAACTCAAGCCTCGGAGTTTTTTCGTTGGGGGTGTTACTTGGAACCCTGACATTTCCTCTCTCTCAACCACAATGCTTTTACTTCCAAAAATACTCTGGGCAGATGCTGTGATGTCTAAAAATATTTGCATGCATATTAACAACTGGCCTCTTGAACAGTGCTCATCAAAACACACTAGAGTCTAGGGGTGTCAAACTGGTGGCCCGCGGGCCAGATGTGTCACACGCAGGCCATGCCCACCCCAGCTCCGGAAAGGCAAAATGTTCAATGTGTTGTGATACATAACATGACGTGATCAAGTTTGACACCCGTGCGTGACTACACCAGGAAGTTTGCATGGACTTATTGAAAGACACACACAGACAAATGAGCTTAGCTTTCAGCATTCTTCAGTGACCCAATACCCCAGGGGTGTCAAACTGGCGGCTTGCAGGCCAAATGCGTCACACACAGGCCACGCCCACCCCAGTTCAATGAAGGGAGAAAAAGTCACAAAATGTCATGTGACGGCAATGTGACGCTGTGAGTTTGACACCCGTGCAATACACTCTTTCAAACCAGCTTCAATTGCTTTGGCATTACAACTCTCTTCTGGGCTGGGGATTCCATCTCAAAATATTTATAAGACAATAGGCTAGGAAAGACTGGCCAAATTACCACAGGATTAAGCAGGTCCCAGAAATGGCAGATGACTTAATATGCTGTTTTCAAACAATTTGTGTGCTCAACCAGCATGCAAGATGACAGACCTTGGAAGTCTGGGCATTAATACTGGAGATTTATAGTTAAATCTGTCACGGATGGAGAGCTTTTCCCAAGAATGACTTACCTGAAGGTTATTTTCCTTGTGGATAAGTACAGAAAAACTTTCTCATTTATCCCTCCCTACTATTGTAAATAAAAACGGGACAGTAGATGAGAGAATAATGGAGAGTAGGGAAGGAGAAATGTATTAACATGTTTTATATGATTTCTGACCTTTTCTCTTAGCTTTGGGGGAGGGGGTTAAGTATTTCTCAGTACTGATCAGTGGTGGGTTGCCCCCTGGTTCGGACCGGTTCACAAGAACCAGTAGTAAAACTGGTGGGAGGCTCAACCCACCGACCCAGACGTTGTCAGGAAGCTTCTGTGCATGCGGTCCTGTTGCGAACCGGTAGTAAAGGTAAGTAGAACCCGCCCCTGGTACTGATCATTACCGTTTTTATCATTTACTTAAACTTCGTGGAAGCACAATATCAGGTATAGATCCATGAATCATAGTTTCATAAAGCATATCTCTATCAAGCAATTTAGGAAGCTATACCTCTTGAATGTCTGCCTGGACACATTTTTTCCTAGGACACAACTGACCTCAAAAATCAATATGAAATACAGCAATTCACATGTATATGGCCATGAGAGCATAAGAGCATGAATGAAGAGCTTTTGGGTGTATGTCAAAATAAGTCTTTGCTATCTTTCTGAAGCATGTAGGAATTGGATTAATGTTATTGTCTTACTTCAAACCTATTTTTTAAAAGAATAATATTTTCCATCCAATTTAAGTATAGTATAGAAAACTGACCAGTCTAACATATGCTAATTCATTCTTTCAACCCTTCCACAGTATTTCTGGTGGAAGTGTGGACACTGTAACGATTGAGTAGTTGAAGTGTCAATCGAAGTATGGCCACTAGGAGACCTTCCCCAAATTCATAGTTCAGGGGGAGGATGGGAAGTTGAAATTAGATTTGGGAGGTAAGGATGCAAGGATAGATGAAGGAGGTTCACTCCCCTTCTAAGGAAGTAGGATTAGGAATATAATTAGTAATCAGGATAGGCAAGAATTGGCTAGCTAGTTGAATCAAGTAGAACTGTAATTAAACCATTTTAAAGTGTTTAAGGGTTGACCAAATGATCCTGCCAGCTATATGTTTCCCGTGTTCTATTAGTCATGTTGTCTTAGAGAGATTTAATGAAATAAAGAGAAAAAACAAAATGCCTTCTGAAGCCCTATGATCTTTTCTTTATTGTCGTTCTTACCTTTGGTTAATGCAAGGCCATCTGGCACCATTTGGAGGTAGACAGCTTCTAGATTCTATTAAACACATAAATAAAAAATAAACTAATTTCTAAAGTAGGAAAGGAATTGGTGACACATACCTTTAGCATCTCCTGGAATTAATGGGGATTTTGAAGTCTATAGAGACAAGACAAAAATCTCCTCACAATAAGAAGAGTACATGAAGCCCAACTGTTGCTTTGCCTACATGTATTCAGAACACAAGTTGTCAAACAATCCAGTGTTGAATGTCTATGAAGATTCTCAGTCATCCAGGTCATAGTTGTCCCAAAGGTGCTTTTGCAAGAGGCAACAGTACTTTCCTTGTTTTTTCTTGAAGACATTTCAGTTCAGAACTGAAGAAGCTTCTTGGATGAGAAGCAAAATGTCTTCAAGGAAAACCAAAGGAAGTCCTCTTGCATCTTTGGAACAATCCAGTGTTGAAGAAGTAGGATATTATTAGTGTAAACTGCACAAAGACTATTAGAGACCAGTCCTTCAACATAAGAAAAATAAATTTATCCCCCAATTAATCAGTGGATTGAAGAAATGATATTACTTGTGAATTATGAATGAGTTGCTTACAGATCTAGATTATGGATGGAGAGTTATAATGAAATATGGTTGTACTTTATTGAAACTGCTATTTAAAATACACACAACAACAACCACAATCTCTCTTTCCCTCTATGTAAATATTTGCAGTGTTTATTAATTGCAATGTTATACAAAGATCTACAAAGTAGAATCCTGAAGGATCGTCCATTCAGGAATTTCTTTCCTACCTTGGCTATCTTTAAAATTCATGTAAGGAATTGACAATAAAGTGGCTAAAAAGACACAAATATTTGCAGCATTGTAAGAGGGAGAAACCATTAACATTCATTGAAGCTAGGCTATCAACTCCATGTGCAGAATTTGCAAGTAATCATTCTCACAGTACCTTACTCTGCATGCATCTTAAAGATTTGAGTAGGTAATTACATTGTGGTTTTTTAAATCTGATTGAGACGGAATGCATGCATCCTAAAGATCTGAGCAATTATATTTTTAAAACATAATTTAAGAGACAGAATTCTTAAAGCCTTGGTTCCCCCTCCCCCACTTCCTCCTCCTCCTTTTTTTTTTTTTTTTTTTACTTTGATAGCTTTTTTTTACTAGTATGCTTTTTTCCCCTAAGTTTTACCTGTTGTATCTCAGTGATGAAGTTGAGTATCCTTTTATACTGGACCCTCCGTCACCTTTATCCCCATTAACATATATTACTTTTTATAGTCTTTCTCATCACCAATGTTGGCTGCTGATTCATATGACACACTCAGTTTAAATGTTGTGCTCCTGGTTAAATGTTTTAAATGATTAGATTTTAAGCAAAGAGAAGAATGCTGGATCCAAATATAGGTAGTCCTTGACTTACAATCACAATGGAGTCCGAAATTTCTGTTGCTGAGTTGTTGTGTGAGTTTTGCCCCATTTTGTGACCTTTCTTGCCACAGTTGTTAAGCGAATTACTGCAGTTAATAATACAGTTGTTAAAATGAATCTGGCTTCCCCATTGACTTTGCTTGCCAGAAGTTTACAAAAGGGGATCATGTGACCCTGGGATGCTGCAACCATCACAAATATGAGGGAGTTGCCAAGCGTCTGAATTTTGATCAGATGACCATGGGGAGGGGGGGGGGAGCTGCAATGATCATAAGTGTGAACAACGTTCATAAGTCACTTTTTTCAGTGTTGTTGTAACTTTGAATGGTTAGTAAATGAACTGTTATAGTTTGAGGACTATCTGCAGTGAGTTGGAAAGAAAGTTTTATCCTGTAGCAACAATATTTGTCTTCCCATTGAGCAATTACCCATTTCTCTATACCCTAGTCCAGTGATGGCGAACCTTTGCTGGACCAAGTGCCCAAAGCGTGCCCACACGCATGAATGTGCACGTGCCTGAACCCCCAAAATGCAATGCACATGCGCCCCCACGCATGTACCCAGCAATGCCCCACCCCACACATGCATGCACCCACACACACACGCGCCCTGCCCCCGTGCATGCGTGCACTCCACCGCACGCACCCCACCCTCCATGCATGCATGGCAGACCCAACGACCAGCTGGCCAGTGGGAGGCACACGTGCATGCACGGCGGAGCTGAACTGGGGCGACGGCTCGCGTGCCCACAGAGAGGGCGCTGCGTGCGACCTGTGTCACATGTACCATAGGTTTACCATCACCGCCCTAGTCTCAAATTCAGTTTGACTTCAAGCTCTCATTGCAAATAAATCTTGCTTTGATATCTGGTAATCAGAAACTGAATAAATTCAGTTTATTTGAAAAGGCCATTTTCCCTGCCCTAAGATCAGAGGTGCTCTTTTAAAAGACTCACTTCTGATTGATACAGGCTTTTGAGATACACAACTATACAATGCATGAATTTCTAACAGAAGCAAAAAAGAGGAAACATTTGTCAATCCAGAGTTAATAAAAATGGTAGGCAATATGCACATTAATAACAATAAATATGTCAAGCTTTTAGATAAGGAGTTAATTTCACTACCCCAGGCACTATGAAGGATGCTATTATCCTGCCACCTGAGGTCATTTTTGCTTTTACAGCCCAGCAGGTTTCAAAAGACAAAAGTGGACCAGAATGGAAGAAAGGACCAATCTTAGGGAACAATCACTTGCTCTCCACCCAATTTAGTGAAATATCTATTTCTATCTTTATAGCTGAAAAGAGGCTCTCACTGCAATTCACATTTTACAACTCAGAAGACATTTAGCTCATAAAATACTCTAAAAGGATAGGAACCAAAAGAGTGTTTCCAGTGGTAGAAACAAGGATCTTGTTATGCCTTCTTTTCTAAAGAGGATAGAAAGTTTCCAAAGAATAAACTAGATTTCCTCTCTGATTTTTTTTTTTGAAATGTCCGTTATGTTGAAAGGCAAAACTGAGGGGTTGGTCCTAAATTTTGCACCATGCAATCCAATATTGATCAGTTGATTGCTGTGCAGAACGTAAATCATTGAATTAATTTATTTATTTATTTATTTATTTATTTATTTATTTATTTATTTATTTTATTTTATTTATTTTATTTATTTTATTTATTGATTTATTTGATTTATATATGCCGCCCTTCTCCGGAGACTCAGGGCGCCTGACAATGCATTAAGCAATAGCCTTCATACTTTTGTATATACCTGCTTAGTAGGGCTTTTTGGGCCCCCCCGAGCGGTGTTCTATTTTATACAAAGTCAGCTTATTGCCCCCACAAACTGGGTCCTCATTTTACCTACCTCGAAAGGATGGAAGGCTGAGTCAACCTTGAGCCTGGTGAGAATTGAACTCGCAGTAATTGCAAGTAGCTGGCAGCTAAGAACTACTTTAACAGCAGCAGTTTAGTCCACTGTGCCACCAAGGCTCTTATTCAAATTAATGAATTTGAATTTTTAACATACCCTATTTTGTACAGCTGGGCATTTGTGACTCTTCCACTTAAGGATGCCTCTTTTTAGCCGTGGTAGAAAATGTATTTAATGTATGGCATCTACAGAGATCATGCAATCACTGATATACAAATATATAGATACATGGACAGTACAATATAGGAGATAAATACCCTGTTTTCCCCAAAATAAGACATCCCCTGATGATAAGCCCAATCGGGCTTTTGAGTGCATGGCAATAAGGCCAAGCGCTTATTTCAGGGTTCAAAAAAACATAAGACAGGGTCTTATTTTCAGGGAAACACGGTATTAAATTAAGATGAAACCGTAATAAAATCACTATAATATGGAACCATAGAATTGCAATGGTAGAAAATAAAGGAGGTGCACTTTGGATTTTTCTGCCCTTACCCAGAAATACAAAATTTAAGACACCCTTGTGAAACCGCAAGTAGGTTGGTTGTTCAATTGTGCAATCCACTTGCAATGCCCATGAGGAATAAGTTTAATGAGAAATTGGTTTGAAAAAATACAACGAACTCAAGAGATATAAAAGGGCACGTAGGTAGGAAGAGGGGAAAACAGAAAGAGAAAGCAATCCCACACAATTCTGGAGAAATATCCAGTGGCTGTAATGAGAGACAGGTGTTTCATTCATCCTGCTCTGCATTTTACATCACCTCTTCCAAATAAAATCTAGAGCACTGCACAGACCTACTAATTATATAGCAGCTGTCCAAAAAAGACTTTGGGTTTCAGAATATACAGCGGGATCACTGCAGAGGATTTGAAAGAAAAGAAATCTTAACCACTCATTTAACTTTTGTAAAAAGACAGTTCATTGTCTTTCTCTGCTGCGCTAAGAGCAAGTTTCATATTTTTTTACTAAAAAAAAAGTGAAAGTCAGACACGTTTGTTTTGAGATACAACCCATACCTGTTGACACTGTCTTTGCCAGCAAATCAAACAATTACCTAATGGTTTAACACATTTTTAATGGCTGGCTAGTTGGACAATAAAGGCACCAACTGAATAATAAAGTAATGCATGAACACATCTTACATGGGAGGCATTATTTAGGGGAAAAAAATAGAAACTAACACTTCTCTATTCAGTATGTGGCCAATATAAGACATGCTCAAGAGCACACTGTTAAACTGTGTTTATATATTTGGGGTGTGTGGGTATTACAGATGGTATATTGAATAAATTAGAACTGATTGGATTTGCACAACATGCTAAACCATAAACACTAGTTTAAAAAGTAGCACCACTGGGTACACACAACAACCTAAGCCAAAACTGAACAAAAAATGCTATTGCATCATAGCTTAGTGAAATATTTGGATCTTGCTAACACTATAAAAGGTAAAGGTAAAGGTTCCCCTCGCACATATGTGCTAGTCGTTCCCAACTCTAGGGGGCGGTGCTCATCTCCGTTTCAAAGCCGAAGAGCCAGCACTGTCTGAAGATGTCTCCATGGTCATGTGGCCGGCATGACTCAACGCCAAAGGCGCACGGAATGCTGTTACCTTCCCACCAAAGGTGGTCCCTATTTTTCTACTTGTACTTTTTACGTGCTTTCGAACTGCTAGGTTGGCAGAAGCTGAGACAAGTAACGGGAGTTCACCCTGTTACGCAGCACTAGGGATTCGAACCGCTGAACTGCCGACCTTTCAATCGACAAGCTCAGTGTCTTAGCCACTGAGCCACCGCGTCCCCTTAGCTAGCACTATCCAAAGTGCTAATTTTCAACTTCTTTAGATCTGGCAATTATTCTTAAAACTGATTTCATCATAGGGTTCTGTATACATGCATACATATATGTAACATACATATATAATCTGAATTTTTACAGAAGCTACAATCCAAAATCTCAACAACAAATCTTTTAGATCCTAGATCCTAGATGCTACTGGCGTGCTATTCATGAACGTGTTTTTCATTTGGTTTGTCTTGTTTCACTACTGCCAATGTAGGATTGTGATTGTTAATTGATTTTTTTTAACTTTAAAACAGCCCAACAATTGAATCAGGAGGTAGAGTTTTTAAACGAAAACAGTAGCATAGTTAGATTTCTTCAGGAAAGCTAATAGAAATAGAATTTAGAGGCAATGCCATAAAAGAACATTTTCCTATCTTCCCTTCTTGCTTTCTCACACAGAGGAAATAACACTTTTCTGAATTTGCCTGTGACAGATGTTTGCAATGAATAATGGGCTTTCCTTCAAAAATATTTTTTCTACACAAAGTAGTAATTTAATTTAGTAAATTAATTGACCAATTAAAATGTATATAATTATCTAAATATTTCTATACCCAAATGACAACCCTCAAGCAGGAAAGCTATCAAGAGTAATGACAACCACAGTGGTGGCTCACTTTAAAAAAATGTTAAATTTAGGGCTGTAATTCTTTAACTGTAATCCACTTCAGGATTTCTTTTTAAGTGTAGCAATATAATTCTAAAATTCTTGTTATTTTATTGTGCAGCTCACTACCTTTATAAAGCTACTTACCAAGTTGCTCATTGTAAAAAAGGAATGTATCAATAGCATCCAAATTGAGCTGGGAGGACAAATACGATAGCTCTTCAAAAGAAAGATATCAAAAATGACATAACATTTAAAAGAGAATGCAAATGATACAGACAAGCAACCTCTCCCATCTCTTTGTGTTTTAGTGATCTGAGTGATACATTCAACAAAATCCTGTAATGGAATTTTTCTGGGCTCCTTTGTTTTGTTTTGTTTTGTTTTGTTTTTTGTTTTTTTTTCTTAACTTGCTCTTTTGTTAATACGATATTTAACTTCTGATATTATTATGTATCACATTGGCTTTTTGCTAGTATCTCTAAGACTAAGTGGTTCAGAAATTTTATAAGATGAAAAGGGCCTGATGGCTCAGCAGACTGATAGCATTGTGATTAACACCAGCTGTCTGCAATTACTGTAAGTTCGAATCTCCCCAGGCTCAAGGTTGACTCAGCCTTCCATCCTTTCTAAGGTAGGTAAATTGAGGAGCCAGTTTGTGGGGGCAATAAGCTGACTTTGTATAAATATACAAAAGTATGAAGGCTATTGCTTAACGCATTGTAAGCCGCCCTGAGTCTCCGGAGAAGGGCGGCATATAAATCAAATTTTAAAAAAATAAAAAATAAAAGCAGAGTATTGAAAATAAAAAGTCTAGCATAAGAAGAGAAACACACGGAAGTGTACATTGCAAAAGAGTGTATTGCAAAAATTATTGCAAAAATACATTACAAAAGAATAAAAAGGAAACACTACAGTTTGAGAGTGCATATACATACATTAATAAACATAGGGAGATATACAGATATTTAACATCCAGAGGTTTTGGGTGCTCCATCACCAGAGGTTTTTAAAGAAGAGATTGGACAGCCATTTGCCTGAAATGATTTAGGTCTCCTGCTTTAGCTGGGGGTGGTTTGACTAGAAGACCTCCAAGACCCCTTCCCACTCTGTTATTCTGTTAGTTATTCTGCTACTTATTCTATTATTCTGACCAGAGAAGGACTTGTGTGGTTGAAGTAATCTATTAGGAAGCACAGTGCAGATATAACAAATGAAGATCAAATTTGAATAAAGTTACCTTCAGTTGAAGAAACTGAACTGTATCTGAGATATTCTGACACTTGGAAAGTTGCATATCAGTGGACTGAATACTTGCCTGTGACACAAATGAATGAAGACTTTGGGTATTTTTCCATTTTCCTATCCTTCACTTATAACATCAGAGACAAAAAACATACGTTTTTCCCAGATTTTCTCAGCCAATCAATGAAATAAAATCATGACTGTCACATTAGCTATCCAGAGAAGGTTGATTTCTGCTCTAAAACTTAAACGCTTTCCTTAATGCTATCCACCCCCCTTTTTTTAATTATCAGAAAACCTGACAAGCAACAGAGTTGATGAACTCATTTCTGATTCTTACTCCCCTGTGTGTCTCTGTTTCAAATCAATGTAGCTACTCAAGTTACTTCCAAGGAAGATTAATATCTGTTATATTATGTGGCTGCTATTCACAATTTCAAAATAAGAGAGAAGGCATTATCTGAAGGCGAATACAACTAACTTAAAGAACAAAATGAAGGCAGCTACTTGGGATAGAAGAGGTAAAATCCTTTGCCATGACATGGAAGTGCAAATGGGGAAATGTCCTCCATGTGGCTATGGTTGGCAAACGAAATAAAAGAGAAGTTTTCTCTAAAGTCACTCCAGTGACTAAAGGTAAAGGTTCCCCTCGCACATATGTGTTAGTCATTCCTGACTCTAGGGGGCGGTGCTCATCTCTGTTTCAAAGCCGAAGAGCCAGCGCTGTCTGAAGACGTCTCAGTGGTCATGTGGCCGGCATGACTAAACGCCTAAGGCGCATGGAACGCTGTTAACTTCCCACAAAAGGTGGTCCCTATTTTTCTACTTGCATTTTTTAGGTGCTTTCGAACTGCTAGGTTGGCAGAAGCTGGGACAAGTAACGGGAGCTCACCCGGTTACATGGCACTCGGGATTTGAACTGCTGAACTGCTGACCTTTCGATCGACAAGCTCAGCGTCTTAGCCACTGAGCCACCGCGTCCCCTTCCAGTGACTACATGGACACAATTGTGTAGTTTTCTTAGCAACAGTATGGAATAGGTTAGGCTTCTCTTTATTTCATGTACTTTTGTACTCTCATTCTAGCCTATAGCCCTGGCAATTCTTGATAATCTTCTATCCAAGTTCTAAGTAGTGCTGACTCTGTTTACTGCCTAGGCCCTGATAAGATTAGCCAGGTCTGAAGCTGTATAAATGTAAACTACTAGACAACCCATGACTCCTTGGGTCATTCTTTCAGAGATATTTCCTTACCAGACTCCTCAGTGCCCTTCAACAGTGACAGATCTTCTTAAAAATTTGGGGAGATATTCAGAGATGTATCTGCCTTGACTGCAGCCCCATCTTAAACTCAAGACAAACATCAGCAGTTGACCACATGAAATGTTTTATGACATTTTGTATTATGTCATTAAATACTTTATGATGCTTATATCATTAAATATTTTATAAAATTTGGCAAATTTCAATACTGTGAGAGTTATGGTCCCAGATTTTGGACACAATCTGTAAATTAGCCCATTTAAGGTAACTTGTTCAAAAATTGTTGCCCTGAGGTTATGGAAAGGAGAGTTTTAGCAATATATTGATTACATACACTACATATAAAGCTGTCTAAAAATAGAAAAGCAAGAATAGAGTCCAAGATGTTCAGATTTTAATGTTTTCCTTCATGCTGCAAAAGGTTTCACTCCCAATATATGTACCATGTTTCCCTGAAAATAAGACCCTGTCTTATTTTTATTTATTTTTTTGAACCCCAAAATAAGTGCTTGGCCTTATTTTTGGGGAGGTCTTATTATTTTGGGGTGCGTGGAGCAAGACAGAGCTCCTCTTTCCGTCTTACCTGATTTCCAGCTCTACTTTTAAATATTTTCAGGAAGGGCTTATTTTCAGGGGGAGGCTTATTTTAGTGCATGAGCTCAAAAGCCCGATTGGGCTTATTATCAGGGGATGTCTTATTTTGGAGAAAACAGGGTAACTAAGGTCAGATAGTGGTATATCTATATTAGAGAAGACATCATATCTGAGACTGTAGTTTAATAGCCCTACAAAGGAACCCAGCACAGTGATATTCAAGTTCTTGGTGGGAGGGAAAAGTTCATGTGGCCCACTCTTGCTATCTGAGTACAAGAGAGAATTAAAAGAGACAAAGTTTTATCTTAAGGAGATGAGAAGGTAATTACAAACACTTGTTTAACTGCTGATGTGTTGTACAAACAATAGCAGAGAATATAGAGCAATGTTTCTCTACCTTGGCAACTTTTAAGACATATGGACTTCAACTCCCAGAATTCCTTAGCTAGTATATTGACTAGAGAATTCTGGGAGTTGAAGTCCATACGACTTAAAAGTTGCCAAGGTTGAGAAACGCTAATATAGACCCTGGATACAAGGAAGGATACTTAACCTTCACACACAAAAGGAATTTGGGGGAGGGGGGCGCGAAACTGAGCCTGGTTTCCCACCATTTCAATCTTGTCCATTCTACATGGACAGATGCATTCAGTTAATGGGACATTGAATAATGCCAATTACTCTGGACTATCTGTCATGTCTGCCCTGGGTCCTTTCCTGGAGGAGGAAGTGTCAGGAGATTATAATGAGGCTCTGGAGGTGCCTGCTGTGACTCAGAGCATAGGCCAGGGAGTGGACGCTGAAGCAGAACCAGTTCCTGTGACATTTTTCAGGCTACGCAGCTACCATCTATTATTCATAGCTACTGAGCATCAATGATGCCAAGAGAAGAAACAGAAGAATGAGCTGCAGGGGAGTGTCAGATTGCAGGGTCAGATTCCTTGGGAAAGCCAGCTTCCTTACGAGCCAAAATAATGATAAAGATCAGCTGGGCCATAGGATTTATGGGCAGGATCAGAGGCAGATAGCTATTGGAAGCAATGTTCTTTCAGCTCATCTGACAACCTTATTTTGAAGCCTGAGATTATGGACTGTTTACCTGCACAGCTCAAGCTCCATCTGAACTATAAGCATTCCTCTAGCGTGACCCTTTTTCAATTGAGTACTCAATTGATTTTGGAGTCTATGGATTGATTTGAATGGTCTAGTTCAGGGATGTTAAACTCGCGGCCCACGGGCCAGATGCATTCACGTGCTGGCCACACCCACGCCTGGTTTAGCGTAGGGGGAAAAAGTCACGATACATCACGTGACAACACCATGACAACACGAGTTTGATACCTCTGGTCTAGTTATAGCTTCTTGATAGGAATGGTTCAGTGGCTTTTATCCTTGATTAGTTGATCCTCCTTGCCCCCGCTGTCCCTTACCTCTGACAGACAGAATACTTTCAAATTAGATAGTGTAGAAGTGCATTTGTTTCTCCTAGAGGCCTTAAAGATTAAAAGTAAGAGCATTCAAATTACTTTGCAATTTGGCATTCCATTTGTATTAGCTACAATGTATATGGCTTTGAGTTTTAATCTGTTTTTCTTTTTCCTGAGCCTGGATGAGTTCTCACTCTTTGATTTAGTACAAATTTAGGAGTCGAGACTATGTATCAAATGTAAGGCTACCTTACATGGGCTAAAATATATAGACAAGAGTAGAGAAATACAGAGAATTCTAAACATTCCATGTCTCCAGTTATTGTCCATGTTTAAGTACAGATACATAATTTTACAGATATGGTGGTCTTACTCATGGCTCCTCGGGAGTTATACTTTCTCAAATGTTCTAGTCGTAAGTGAGGAGTTACTATTTGTTATAGTAACAAATGACCTAGTAATGAAGATACCTTTGTCTAATGCACCACCCATAAAACTATAAAGGAGCTGCCCATTGAACAGGAAAGCTCCTTTCCGCAGAAATATTTTTTTTTAAAAAAAAATATGAAAACAGCTAAACAGAGGAAAGGTGTGGGATGGAAAGTTATGCAAATATTATGTGTATTCATTTAAAAGATCAAGAAATGTAGACATGTTCTCAAGGGTGTCCACAAGGAGACCAAGAAGTGATTGTATGATCAAAGCCCTCACTCCTTTACATGCCTTTGATGAAATGCATGTTAAGAGGGACATCAATCAGTTATGCTCTCATCTTGACTTTTTTATCCCTCTCCGTGGACATCCCTGTCTGATATATTACAACTTGTCTTTTTGGAAACAAGCTTCTACAAATCCCTGAATTTATTTTCTGATATTGGATCAGGAGAACTTGGCCAGTGGCTGTAAATGTGTTGGCTCTTTTTTTCTATCCGTTGTAAAACTAGTAATGTATGACACATGGAGGAAAAATGCTTGGCTTATTCATACCAGAATGTGATTTTTAAAGTGTATGGAGTAGCTCTTGTTGTACAAAAGGGCAGAAGAACTGAGCCTCTATAAATTGTTGTTCCCCAGGATTCAAAGCCTTGGGCTCCCATCCTTTGTTTTAAATGCTAAATTCTGCTTTAAAAAAAAAAAAACAATTACGATCTGATGCATTTTGGAATAATGGCATGGAATTTTTTTTTTTTTAGAAGTCAGCAGTGAACATTAATTTATGACTATTTTTCAAACTCCACTGAAGTAAGAATGTAATAGCTTTTGCTTGATTTACTTTCTATAACCTGCCACTCACAACTAGGGGCCCAATAAGGCTGCAGACAGACAATATTCCAGTCACAAGGCTGAATTCCTTAGGATGGTGAAAAAGACTATTCGGGGAGAACAGAATTCCCCCCTCCCTTTTATAGTGAAAAAGCATCAATAAAACATCTGTTTTTTTTTAAAAAAAAAAAAACAGGCAAAGGAAATCTGTCTTAATCAAAGAAGGAAAAAAACCAGTGTTTATACTTCAGTGGAATGAGATGGTATGCTAATCCAGTGTTTCTTAAAGTGTGGTCCTAGGACCCTGGATCCTAGAAGAGACATGGTGGATCAGTGGCTAAGATGAAACGTTGGCAGTTCAGCTGTTCAAATCCCTAGTGCCACGTAACAGGGTGAGCTCCGGTTACTTGTCCCAGCTTCTGCCAACCTAGCAGTTCGAAAGCTCGTAAGAAATGCAAGTAGAAAGGTAAAAGGTCCTAAAGG